GCCTAAGAGATGAATCTTGGGGAGGTTTTATCACAGTCCATTGCTGAGAAATCTCATCTGTAAACGGCAAGATCTCACAATATGTGGGTGGCGGTGGGAGTGACAAGCAGGCTGCCGCTATACAAGTGATCTGGGAGGCTGTGCAGCTGCCCAGATCACTTGTACAAAACGAACGCTTGCTCCCCTGCTCTACATTTAGCCCTGCTTGTCTGAAACAGGGCGAAATGTAGAAAAAGAAACATAAGGTATGCAAAGAATAAAAGGCCAGCAATTATATAGAAGTATCCGTTTGTAGATTGTCATTACTAAACATTTCTACAGGTGCCTGGGAACTGGATCACACTTGAATATACAAGAACGAGGAGTAGAGTCAGGACTTGCCAAAGTACGAAGATGATTCCACATGAGTAGAGGACACGTTTTCCCCCCAGAGTCTAAAACCCCTCACGGGGGGTTGGGCTTAGCCTGTGTGTTGACCCCCAGGTTCACTCTGCCGAGGCAAATGGGCCACAAGTTAGGAAGGCACTAGGAAACGGTCAGGGTTGGCTGTGGACACAGATGGTCAAGAAACAAGCATGAGGTCAGGTAGGCAGTGAACAAGGATAACCGGGATACTAGCCCGAGGTCAGGGCAGGCAGCAGACTCAGATAACCAAAAAGAAAAAAACTAGGAGAGAGAGAGAGATCAGGGCAGGCAGCAGACATGGATCACCAAAAACAAATCCATAGGTTGTTACACAAGAATTAATGGAAGGTTGCAGACTGGCTAGCAGAAAGGCTCTCGAGGGGTTCAGTAGACAGCTAATAATACTGTTGCTTAGACAGCAAGCTGAAAGCTGCCCAAGTTTAAATGAACTAGAAGAGCCCACTTTGACACATCAGAAGAAGAAACCATTCAGATAGGCAGCAGGGACAGGGGGTGGACGCCACACAGATGGACTGCGGCCAACAAGGAAAATAGAGCTATTCTGACTAGCCACAGCTTGTCAGAAGAAGGATGCCACTGGGTAAAGCCTGTGCCAGCAGCCAGGCGCCCAGAAAGCTAAGATGGCACTGTAACGTAAATGTTAATTAGAGCTGATAGTCTCTCTTTTTCTCCCCCCCACCCACCACCACATATGTGGTCTCCGTGCCCGCCGGCCTAGACTGAGGGAACATATGATGGAATTTTCTTATGAGATGTGGTGTAAAGATATTCGATACAGGATCCTAGGCCCAAATTCTTTCCAATCAACAAAGGTACTGGAGTACACCACTGAAAGATCAAGTGTCCAGTATATGATTCTCTTCATATTCCTGGCTGTTTTTGGAGAGAGGAGAAGGGGTCAGAAAAAGCCAAGAAAACCTGATGAGTAAATCCTGGATTGATCTTGGAGATGACCATATAAAAGGGACAATAAACCTAGGAGCAAACTTCAGAGATGACACTCTGAGTCTATTTTTCTTAGTTGAGAGCCAAGCTCTGTCCCCTGATTGGAGAGTATGTGGTTTGCAGCTGTGACGGTCAGTAAAGTCTTTACATTTGCAAAACTGCTTGGATAGAGGTTTGTACTTCAGACGAGATGGAATTAAAAGACTTTTGAACAACATCTGAAGCAGGAATGTTTGGAGAGCAAGGAACAGGAAGAGGAAGTTGAGGATGAAGATCCTGGACAGGGCCGTGTCCAAGACTATGCTAAGATACCCAAAGCGAAAAGTATAATCCAGTGTCAACTTCTGGAGATTTAGGATCCATCCTAAACGCTACAGAGTTTGCAGTCCGACAGACACTGGCTGACAAGGCCGGCTCCAACTGATGCCTGAGCAGGAGGTAAACCAGGTCATCTCAGGAACATCCTGAGAGCAAAGCATTGCCAGGACAGAGGCCAAAACCTTGGTCAAGACCTGTGGTGCTGAAGAGAGTAGCAACAAACTGGGAATGATGCATGACCATGGCCAAACGCAGGTAGCGTGCAGGAAAGATGTGCAAAATAGACATCCTTGATGTCCATAGAGGCTATAAAATCTCCCAGGTGAAGGGAACTCGGCTCCTGAGTCCTAAGAGGGATGATATGAACTTTTCTTGAAAATAGAAGTAGAGGACTTCCCCACTGCAGGTTTAGCCTTCTTTTCTGAGGCAAAAGGATTCTCTTGCCCCTGTGACTTCCTTGATGTAAGTATCTAAAGGTACACCAGATTGGTGGTCCCCTGTAAAGGGAATGCAATTCAGAAGCTTCTTGCATGGAAGCTCCACAGACCAGCACTGTAGTAAAAAAATACATCACATGAAGTGAGACCGTGAACACCTGGCAGAGAGTATCCGCAAGCCCATAGACATAATAGCACAGGAGATAACTCCAAGGTGCTGGAGCGCAGAAGGGTCTGTGAGAATGGAGCCAAGATCTCTGGCAGACTACCACTGTGTGAACGTTAGGTTGTATAGCAGTGTCTGAAAGGGCGAATAAGGCCTTGAAGAGGGCTTCTAACCTCTTGTCCATGGGATCCTTGAAAACAGGAATATCCTCAACAGGAACCATTAGGGTTTTGTTAAGGTAGAAAATGGCTGAGTCCACAACAGGGACAGTCCACTTCTTAAGGAAACCTTCCTCAATAGGATATTGCTGAGCAATACACTTGGGGAAGAGTAAACAACTTGCCAGGTTGAGGTCAATCGCCATATACAAACACTGGCTGTAGAAACAAGTGTACAAAGAAAAAAACATTGCTAGTCGGGGCATTTTTAAGGATCCCAGACTAGTGACCTTTGGTAAGGTTGACACTGGTGGCTTTAACTGTAGGCAAGTGGGAACCACATCTACGTGATTGTAATAGTATCTTTGGATGCAGCCCCCCCTTAATCTCATCCACTTCAGGAAGGTCAGAGGGAGACGTCTACCCTCCAGGTAGAGGACTCTGAAAGCAGATAGACCATGGCCCTGGACCTGTAATGCACCCTGCGTCTAACTGAACACAATGGACTACATGCCTAGGTGAGTTCCCCATGCAGGATCCAGTGCATGGAGCAATATTACAGGCCAGCCCCGCATCTTCTTTCTGATAGGGTCCAGTTATTGCCACCCCAAGGCTCAGTCGAGGAGTAAACTGATCCAGATAGCTGCCATAGTGTTTGGGTGCCATTAGGAAACTTGAAAGAGTCTTGAAGAAAAATGTTTAGAAAAAAACCAAAAAGGATATGCTTCTCTCAGAGCAAAGAGAAGATGCCTGTTCACCTGAGGACACTAGTAAAAAACTGAAGAAATGCTGGGAGTGGGAGGGGCTATACAGTGTAGAATCACCTGAAGGTAGCTTCAGAACTCATTGGTCTCAAATCCCCATCCAGTGATGTATGATTAAGAAATGTGATTTCCTGCTTGAGTAATTGGTTAATTTGTTTTCCCTGAGGTCTACAACTTAGATACACGTCACATTTAAAGTGTATTTCCACTTTTGCAGCCAAATAGGGATAACACCAATTTTATATTTATTACATGTTCCCATTAACAACGTTAATACTAAAAATATATTTAAAAAAATGCTTCTTGTAGTACAAACTGCTTTTACTTGGGTTAGGGTTTCTTGGCTTCTTAAGGGTTGAAATTTCTATTTGCTTCTCCTTCTTTGTAACGTTAGGGGGTGTTGTGAGGGGTCTGTGTTAATGCTGTCTGTACTGTGCTAGCTCATTTTATTTTGAAATTGTAACATAGACTTGAATACTGCCTGTCCTAAGAAGGGGTTAACAGATTAAAAGCCTAGCTTCTGCATTGTATGTTAATAAGAGAAACACAAGCAACGCATTTCAGTCCCAAGTCTTTCTAGGAGCACAGGTCACTGTGAAAGTACTCAGTAAAATCTGGATTCAGCCATTTTGCCTGCTGCAACAAAACATCTAAAAAGGTAGGAAATAGGGATGCACAGATACTTTTCGAGTACCAGTGCAGATACTTGGCATTTTCATGAGAACTACCAGGGTTGCAGCTGGGACCTGGCTCTGGCGTTCCACCACTGTCCTGAAATCATTAGTCTGTATTGTTTTAGAAAAACTGTCACATGACAATAAACAAAAATGTATCAGTACTCGTACTTGTAAGTACTCGGCAAGTACCAGTACTCGTACTCGCAAAACTGGTATCTGTGCATCACTTTATTTATATTTATAAAACCAAAATCATACATTAAAACAAGGATCTACAAATCCCGAGAGCTACGTGTGCTCCTTACAGATGACAGCGGCCTCCTAATTTTTGAATGTTTCTCTAGTCTAGTCTTGGAGCTCAAAAGTATCGGTACATGTACTCGTACCGAGTACTGTACTTGGTATCTGTGCAACCCTAGTAGGAAATAAAATAAAAATGATTTTTGTGATGCTGTGTGAAAGGCAACACAAACATATAGAGGGAAATTCTCAAATTCGACTGCATAAGTAGAATACACTTTAAGGTATTCCGTGCAATAGGAGTTTCATTTTTGGTAAGGTAACCCCAATTGCTTGACTGCTACTACTAAAGGGACACAAACTACAGCCTCTCTCTCTTAGAACACTGACATTTGCTAAGGTGATAATAACTAAGGCTGACCCTCCTATTCAGGGATCCATATGGTAAGGACATGTTTATTTAAAACACAAAAAGATATAAATCTGTAACAAAGGAAGCTAGGCCATCTGCATCATAGCAATAGAGGACGACAGGCAGCTCCAATAAAGTGCATTAGTGCTGCATGTATATTAATGCTAGCATTCATGTTTACATGGGCAGAACATAAAATTGTGTATATATATGTATATATATATATATATATATATATATACACACACAATTTTAATGCCGTACTGATAAAAATGCAGCATTTTTATGACTGTGTGTATCAGTACTGTACTGTCAATACACACATTTCTGCACCTCATATTACACAACTATATACAGAAAATATGAGGTGTATCAAACCAGATATACACAAATTTGTGACCTCTATCTTTGCTAACACATATTGCTTATTTCAATGTAAATATGACAATAAGATTACCTATGTCAATCCCACGTCGCACTGTAGATTTGTCAGAGCTATGGTAATTGATGATATCTTCCACCCAGTGAATATAGTTCAGCCGCAGGGGCACAGTAGGAATAAGCCTTTCCAGGGGTATGTCAATGGTTAGCCCAAAGTCTTCCTTTAGGAGAGTACAAGTCAAGGCTCGGACAGCTCCAGGTTCTTTGAAGTTCACGCTGAATAAATAGATAGAGCGTTGAAAGTAGTAAACTCTAGCTAAATGGCATTTACTTTTTTTAAACACTGTGTATCATAAACAATTACCATTTTTTAATAAGAAAGTTACCTTCACTTTTTCATTCTTTGTATCATATAAGTATCACTGATCTCCTGCAGCCTCTTTCTACATGTGTGACCCAGTGATAGTTGCATGACACTTCTCAGGGCAGGTCTCCTAATGGTTTTAACAGTGGATTATGCCTGTATAATGTGTGCTGAAATGGGCACCTGCTTTATATATTCCTTGTGGAAGCCCATGTGACATTGTGACAATCCAGGAGACAGGGACAGAGTGTTATCACCCTATAACAGGAGGTGCCTAAAAAAAGAGCCTTCGTGACAGGATGCCCAGGTATTATGTTTACAACTGCCAATTTAAAAAATATTGAAAGCACTTTTGAAATGATATAAGCATTAAAGCTTCTATGAGATTTTAGTGTTTGGGTTTACATATATTTTAAGGTATTCACTGAGCAGATGCTGTTATGACAGGCATGGCATGCCTTGGAAATTAACCAAGAAATTAAAAGTTTGAAAGTGGTTTAAGAAGGCTGTACAACGTGTAGATTTGTAAACGTGGCAAGAGTTGAGAGAGGGGTTCGCATTAAAGTGACCCTAAACTCCGGAGTTACATTTTATAAATGCATTCAAGTACCTTAACTATTAACAGAAATGTATCTTATTTGTGTATCACTCAGCTGTAGATCCGCAAATCATCTCTGAATTGGTGCTGACACTGTCCTTCCTTCAGGAGGGGGGCTACTTTTGTTCCCCATGGTCCCTGTGTGTGCTGTAAAGTAGCCACCACTCCAAGCTCATAATAATAGCAGGTAGTAAATAGCATTAATAGTTCAGATACTTGAATGCATTTTTAAGATTTAATTCCTGAGTTAAGTGTCACTTTGAATTAAACTCAAAGCATAGAAGAGAACGTACCTCACTCTTCCAGACAGGCTCACGCTGACATGCTGCTTAAACTCCGGATACTTGGAAGCCAAGTAGGCAAAGTCTGGAGGCCGGTCCTTATAGCGGTTTCTTGGATGCATAGACTTATTAAGGGCCATTTCTTATCTGTAAGGACAAGAAAATAGGTTAGAGGCAGTTCTTACCTTTGTGCTTGAGAAACTTGTGCTTGATCTGCCTATTTGTTTTGGATCAGTGACTCAAAAAGTATTGAAGCCATAAGGACAGCAAAATAGCCATGAAACTAGCATTTCAGAAGCTTGTCATGCAATGATCAGGTGCATCCTTACAATTTGCGCTGCCAGAGCCCGGGTGGTAGGAGGTGCATGGTACCTCTGTCCGGCATTCGGCCCAGTTCACCAATGTCACTGGTTGCCAGGAGCTGAGTGGGACACCAGCCAGAGGGTCCCGCTCCGCACCTAGCAACCAATTATCTCAGTCAGCTGGGCAGGGCACCGGCTAGATCATCACAGGTTGCTATAAGGTCACATCTGCCAATCCCCCCCCCCACGTGACCCAATGAGATGCCGCCTGAGGCAACTGCCTTGGACTGCCTCATTATGGGCATGGCCCTGCCCGTTATTCCTAACTAGAAAGGTAATGCAATATACCTATCACCAGGAAAAGGAAAAAAAAATAGAAGTACCCTTGCAGTGGTGCTTCCCACAAAGCAAGTGCTAACTGCTTGTTCTTGTTTAGGAGTATTGTGCCAAGGACGTTTACTTGCCTGATCCCCACAGCTTCTCCCCTCTGTGCAGTCAGAGGCCCGCTGACATCATCACGTACATTGCAGGGCCTATAGCCTAAGGACATTAAAGGGCAGTTAACAAGCTGAAGCGTAGGGGAGAAGAGATGAGCTCCTACTGCCGGGGGAGTGGAGATCTGGTAAGTAAAAGTGCTTTTCTTGATACCAATAGACATAAACGGGCAGTTAACTGGTGTGGGGGTAGGCCCACTGCAAGGGTTATTTTTATTCCCCTGGAAATAGGCTTTCAATAAAATACTTGTAATAAATGTGCTCCAGTGTACTGGAGATGCAAATAGGAGGAAGAAATATGACAAAAAAGGAGAACTTATTAAATGCTATTATCATAAATACAACCTGCTAACCTGGGACAGAACACTGAATGCAGGGATTGTGTACAAGGTGGGTACGGATGGTCTGTTATATTACGTGTTGTCACTAAAGAAAAGAAGGTGACAGCTGATTAAACACAGCACTGCAGACTGCCCAGTCCTGCTCACACTGACACAGGCTGACATATAACCTACACCCGATACAATTCACTCGTCTGATGCTGATCTCTTCTCACTCCTTCACTGCACTCCAAACCTTGTGCTACAACTGCAACTCCCAGCTGCTTCAGTCATGTGATGTCAGCCAGCTACAGGGCGATGCAGAGGACAAAAGAGCTGTTTAATCACTATGCTGGAGTTGCATCATCATAATTTGAGGGGATGTTTACATTTGTACAACATAGCATATGTGGCTGCAGAATATTTAGCACTCATGCATGTTTTTTCATTCTCACAACATCATTCCTAGGTGACTCTGGGAAGTAGAGCAGACAAATCGAGTGCTGCAAATTGCAGACTTCTTACATTTGTCTTCAGAAATGTAGATGACTAGCAGGTGACCCTGTTGTGTTTAATGTGAAATTATCCAAAGAAAGAAGCCTTCTTCTACATTAGTTACACTCAACCATTATTGTTGGTATGACTATTGTTGATGTCCAGCTCTAACCTTTTTGGTTTTGGGTGTAGTAGGGAAGGGTTGGGAGCTCAGAGAATAGGAAGTAAGAGGAAATCTCTCCAATAGGGATACAGAAATGTTTTTTGAAGGTCTGTGAGGTTACAGTATCACCATCTGTCCTCCCCTGTGTCAGTGACTCCCAGCCCCCTCATTTCTTGTCCTGGGTCACATGGATTAAGGGCCCAATGCAGTGAGTTATTGCATGCACGTTAATGTGCATTTTTTTTAAGGCAACTGATTCCTTTTAATAGGTTAACGCACCAAACATACCATTTCTGTCAGTGCATTGCCATGGGTTACACAGCACTGCAAAGAATGTCCGCACGCAGGAGGTGTTGGGGTGGCATTCAGAAGGATTAGCACCACCCCAACACATGTACCATGCACTGCAGAGCGTCACCACAAAGCAATAATGTAACGGCCAAAAACGTGAAGGGAATCTCCCCTGTGGAGTCACAGGCAATAATTATAAAAGAACTCCGAGCATAATAAAACTTAAAAGAGAACTATGGGGTAAGTGTGTTTCCCCATAGTTCTCTTTAGGATCACAGGAGGACATATACTAACCTCTTCTCGTGACCCAAAGCTCAGTATATCGCAGGCTATTGCCCACGATATACTGTGAGCGCCGCAGCTGGGACGGATCCCGACATAACTGTCGAGATCCGCCCAGCTGTGTGAGTGACAGCGGGCTCTGCCTACCTAGAGGCAGAGCCAGCTGTACCCGCCCCTCCCCCATCCGTTCTGCCAGTCAGCGCTGGAGGATCGGAGAGGAGGGGGGGAATCCCAGCGGGGACCGGTGACTGACAGTCATCGCTCACTGCAGGGAGATGATCGGGACGTGAGCGGATCTTCTGCATGTTTCTGCTCACTTCCCGATCGATAGAGCCGACCTGTGACAGCTTCTTTGTCACAGGTCGGCTCTAACTATGAGGATGAGTGGAAATCGCTCACCTCATAGTTCTCCTTTAACCCCGCACTGCAAGGGTTAAGTGATCGTTTTGATGTAGAGTCTAAAATTACAATGATATACTCACCCAAACCACAGTCCCGCCTGGCCGCTAGACCAGTCCCTGTAGCTGCTTCTCCTCATCTATGGTGATGGAATGTCCCTCAGAGTCTTGCAGCCAGGCAGGATCAGGTGAGTACATCTTTTTTTATTTTAGACCCTACATGAAAATGAGAAAATTCACTTTTAACCCTTGCAGTGCAGGGGTAGCTCCACTGCAAGGGTTTGGTGTTCTTCTGGAATACGTATGTAGGTCAGGAATTCTGGCCTGCATACTTGTCACAGGGTAGTGGCTCAAAGTATCAAAGCCAAACATGGCATAACTTTTATTTAACTTTATTAAAATGTCAGAAAGTGTCATTCAGCTCTATACACCACACTGCATTACAATGCGTAGTGGTGCAGGGATATGCAGTGAGCTGCACTGGATAAAAATGGAGACATGCTGCCTTTTTTACAAAGTGCACACCGCCACATATTGCGTTAAACCTGCATTGATCTTTGCAGGACATGATGTGAATGAGCCCTAATAATAAGGTAAAGAAATGTAAACAAAAGCAGAAGACAACCTATGACGTACTAGTATTATAATGATATCCCATCATACAAGGGTCAGCTCTGTGTGCCATGTGTCACCTATAAACCTTCCACCATATATGTTGTCACTACAGAATACAAGGTGACAGTTGATGACTGCTCCTCACACAGACTGCACACAATGTCTCCCATACACCGAGCACCCAATACAACTCACTCACTCACACGGGGACGCTGATCTCCTCTCTCTCCTTCTCAGTACTCCAAACCTCATGTGCTACAACTTCCAGCTGCTTCAGTCACGTGACATCGGCCAGCTACGGGGCTCTGCAAGGGACAAAAGACTGAAAGAGTTGTACATTAGCAGAAGTTGCATCAGCACAGTGGCTTTAGAAGGGGATGTTTTTTACATGTGACCAAAACAACAGATCATTAACACTCTGCCCCTGGGTTTGCATTTTTATGGCACTCCTAGAAATAGGGAAAACATAATAGATTTACGTACTGTTGCAATGTGCAGCCCCTCCTGAAAATAGAGGTAATGAGGCTTGGCTGCCAACAAGTACACAGCGCCACAGCGCAGGTTTTACATGCATGGAGGTGTTCTGTTTTGCTAGTAAACTATCTTGTGCTTTCCTGTCCTGTTGTCCCATATATATATATATATAAAGTAAGGTGAATCTCCCCACTGGAGTCTCATATGCTCAGAGAAAAACTCCAGGCAGAAATTTTATAAACCCTTGCAGTGGGGTTACCCCGGTGTCCTATCGAAAGCTCCAACTCATCGAAATCTCCAACTACCTCACTTCCGGTGCTCAGAAAGACTGGAGCTCTGTACAGTTGCGCGCATAGTGTTTTCAGAATACTCATTGAGTTTGCCACCTGCTGAATATTGTTACATGCAGCTGTACAGAGCTCCGTCAGTCTCTGTGTTTTGCAGTCTAACCACGTCTGGCCAAAACCTCCAACTTGCAAGTACCCGGCAGTTAGGTAGTTGGAGATTTCGACGAGTTAGAGCTTTCGATAGAACACAGGCAATGCAAGGGTTAACTGCTCGTTTTTGTCTAGGGTTAAAAAAAAAGTTATTCTCTCCTGATCATCCAAGCCGGTGTTCTGGTAGAATCCTGGACCTGTGACAAATCTGGACCTGCGCGCCACGTCAAGTGGGCGTAGGGTGGGGCATCGGCTGAATGCGTAAGCTCATAGCCACAGTAAAGCCACAGAAAATTCACAGGCTAGGCAGCCAAGGCCACATGACTTAACACAATAATAATAACAAATCAGATTTCTAATGAAGTCCAGCAATCTGTTAGAACACCGGTAGCGTTCTCATCCAGCCTGTCTCCTCCTCCACTGCAGCGATGGTATGGCCCTCAGTGCCCTCAGGTCCTATACACTGTATTGGATGGTATGGCCCTCAGGTCCTATACACTGTATTGGACTTGATGCCTTAACTACAGGTGAAACTCGAATAATTAGAATATCGTTCAAAGTTAATTTATTTCACTAATGCAACTTAAAGGTGAAACTAATATATAATATAGACTCATTACATGCAAAGCAAGATAATTCAAGCCGTGATTTGTCATAATTGTGATGATTATGGCTTACAGCTCATGAAAACCCCAAGAACCCCAAATCCACAACCTCAAAAAAGTAGATTATTACATCCAATCAATAAAACAAGGATTGTACATAGAACAATATCGGACCTCTGAAAAGTACAAGCATGCATATGTACTCAGTACTTGGTTTGGGCCCCTTTTGCAGCACTTACTGCAATTACTTTTGCACGATAGTCTAATTATTCGAGTTTCACCTGTATTCCTGGACTGCTGCAGCGAAGGGTGAGAGATGCTCCAGGGTAAGGGTTACTAACATGTAAATGTACCTTCTCTGAGTCTATTGTCAGCGTTGACATCTTAGCCCGCTCTTTCTCTGGCTTTAGGGTCTTCAGCCATCTTGATTGGATGGGCCAGAATAATGTAATTTTTATGCATGCGCACAGGAGTTAATTTATTTCAGCACCGGAGTATGCTTAGAATATACCCTGAGCTGCACATGCACACATGAGTTCCTTTATTCTGGCACCGTGGTATGCTTATAAAATACACTGAGGTGCACATGTGCACAGGAGTTTTTTTATTCTGACAGCGGGGTATGCTTAGAATGTACACTGAACTGGTATGCTTAGAATGTACGCTGTATTGCGCATGCACACAGTTTATTCATTCCGGCACTGGAGTATGCTTTTCAATGTACACTGAGCTGCACATGCACACAGTAGTTCCTTTATGCTGGCACCGAGGTATGCTTAGAATGTACACTGAGCTGCGTCTGTGGACAGGTGTTTATTCATTCTGGTACCGGGGTATGCTTAGAATGTACACTGAGCTGCGTCTGTGCACAGGTATTCATTCATTCTGGCACTGGGGTATGCTTAGACTGTACACTGAGCTGCGTCTGTGCACAGGAGTTAATTCATTCTGGCACCAGGGTATGCATAGAATGTATACTGAGCTGCATACGTGCATAGGAGTTTATTAATTCCAACACCAGGGTATGCTTCAAATGAATACTGAGTTGCTTATATGCACAGGAGTTCATTCATTCCAACACTGGGGTATGCTTAAAATGTATACTGAGCCGCACGTGCACAAAGAAGTTAATTTACTCTGGCACTGGGGTATGCTTAGAATGTACACTGAGCTATGTATATGCACACAGGAGTTCATTCATTCTTGCACTGGGGTGTGCTGAGCATCCACAGCTCAGTGTACATTTTAAATAAGATTGCAAACAGGCAGGTAAGTTTGTTTTATTGCAGAAGAAACATAGTATGTCCGCAGTCCCCAACCATCTTCTGTAGGGTGTCCCCAGTCTCCAAAAACATTCTGTACTTTTACATTCCCTGCATATTATCTGTGGCACTTTAGTGATGTCAGGTGTCAAATGTGAGGCCCCATATATGAAGTAAGTTGACCAGCAATGATGTAGGTTGATGGGAGAGGCAGGGTTACTTGCAGCTAACATCCAGGATAGCATCCACTGGTCTATGTCTTTGAAAGTGTGTATTTGAGGGCCAGGAGAGTTTATTTGTTTTCATATATAAACATTCTTTAACCCAGAACCATTTTTTTAATGCAAAATAATACACACATTATGGACCCCCAAACCATATATTTTCGGAAAGCAGGGGAGCTTTAAAATGAATACGTAGGGGCATATGTTTAAAGCATATTTACTGCAGGTGAATCTTCCTGGTGCACTTGTTTTAAATTACAGGAAATAATTATTCAGCTGTGAATGTTGGTGAATGTCACATTGACCGCCTTATAAATATGCCCCATAGTATTATTGATTTTATAAGTCTCGTAATGATTATAATCCCAGCAATACATTATACAGCACTGCAGAATAAAACCATCAGCTATAGAGGATTACAAATCCCAGCAATACATTATACAGCACTGCAGAATAAAACCATCAGCTATAGAGGATTACAAATCCCAGCAATACATTATACAGCACTGCAGAATAAAACAATCAGCTATAGAGGCTTACAAATCCCAGCAATACATTATGCAGCACTGCAGAATAAAACCATCAGCTATAGAGGATTAAAAATCCCAGCAATACATTATACAGCACTACAGAAAAATACCATCAGCTATAGAGGATTACAAATCCCAGCAATACATTATACAGCACTGCAGAATAAAACCATCAGCTATAGAGGATTACAAATCCCAGCAATACATTATACAGCACTGCAGAATAAAACCATCAGCTATAGAGGATTACAAATCCCAGCAATACATTATACAGCACTGCAGAATAAAACCATCAGCTATAGAGGATTACAAATCCCAGCAATACATTATACAGCACTGCAGAATAAAACCATCAGCTATAGAGGATTACAAATCCCAGCAATACATTATACAGCACTGCAGAATAAAACCATCAGCTATAGAGGATTACAAATCCCAGCAATACATTAT